CCCTGTGCTCTCGTGAGCTGCAGGCCAGGGATGAACGTGTCTGCCCTGTGCTCTCGTGAGCTGCAGGCCAGGGATGTATGGATGACTGTGTCTGCACTGTGCTCTTGTGGCCTCTGTGTCTGGTTCCAAACACCTGTAAGAGCCTCAATAGTGGACAAGCTTTACAATTCACAGCTTTGCGTGCCCTTGGGTACTTGACAGGCGCCAACATCAGAGCCCCCTGCCTGCCAAACCACACTTCCAGAGCTGCGCAAAATCCCATTCCTTTCTAAGAAGACAAAGCCAGCGTTCAAGGAGCAGTCCCACTCCAAGTCCCCAAAACTCCCTCTTCCCATCCCCACCCTCGCTGCAATGAAGCAAACTCTTTACATCTTGCTGGACGAATGCAACAGATTCTATACAAACAGATCAGACTACAGGCGTGTTCATTATTACACTGACGTGCGCTCTGTACCTAAATATACCGGGTTGCTAAGGGCATCTCTTTAACAAGTCTACTGGGGGAAGGTTGTTTTGCTGGCTTTGTGGTTTAATTGGTTGAAGCCCCACAGTGACCAGGTCTCACAATGTTTCACATAATGGGGAAGAAGAGCTTTACCAAACTGGGCAGCTCTCATGAACAAACAGCAGCGATGCCACTTTGTAGCCTGATCTTGTCAGCTCTTGGAAACAGAGCTGGGCGAGGTCAGTACCAAGACAGGAGACCACTACACAAGACCAGGTTGCTGCTGCAGGAGGTGCTAATGGACCAGTAGTTGGCGCTTTTCTTTCTGGGCCCGAAGGAATTTGCAGTTGGCGATTGGGGACAGAGTGCTGTAGGAGGTGTTGACCTTCAGGAGAGACAGTCGCCACTTCCTGGGGTCATTAAAGATCAGTTCGTAAAAGCAGGTTGTTAACCCCACTTCCAGTCTGTCCTTCCAACATGAACAAATTCCTGAATTTCCCCCTTAATTAAAATGAAACCACTTCTCCATCTGATCTGCTATTTAGCGGGCTGGGATTATTATTTCTTAAACAACGAGAGCTAGGCCCGTGAGTGTGGAGCTGTTGGTGCGTTTGTTGAACCCAGAATGGCATTCAGCACAAACCCACTGTACGAGCCAGTGTGTGCTGGACCCTTTGTGCGAACAGCGTTTGATGAGATTGGTCTGGGGTTTTTAATTGCAGTGCTCTTTCTGTGGAAGCAGTCAGCAGGAGGCCCCTGGCAGAGAGAATTACCGACCCTGTGGGGGACTTACACAGTATAAATATTTCAGCTGGAAAAGCTAATCAAACGGAGCTGCAGTTTCATCCCTGACTGTGCCAGGTCAGCCACCGTCCATCCGTCCAGGAATCTCGCCCGTTAAAGAGGAGGAAATGGATATTAGAGGGGTGACCAGCAGGTAAGCGATATCACTGTGAGTCACAACTAGTGGGGCGTCCCTAAAGACTGAGTGGTCTGGGAGCTCCTAGGAGCTTCAACCTGTGTGCAGCTTGACCTTCACAGAGCGGAGATCACTGTTGGGACTGGGGCTCTCCTATGCCTCAGCACAAAGCAAGCAGACAGACAGAGCTGGGGTCTGAACCGTGAGCCTCTTCAAACGACCCACCCAACTGCATCTACGCATGGCGTCACGTGAGAGAGGAGAGAGGAGTACACAGTTCCTGTAAGGATTCCGGGCTGCAGCACTAAGCAGATAACGTGCGGCGCTTTCACGAACCGCAAGACGAGATTTAGAAAAACTGCTACTGTACAGCATCTGTGAAGGCTCACACTGGGGGCAGAAAGGACTCCACCTTAACAGCTGGAGGTGAACCTGTGAAGCCCCTGCGTGCCAGCAGGTGTTGTTACAGGGCGGGCCTTGGGTGCCAGGCTGCACACCCCACATCGCTGCAGAAACACTACACAGATAATGCCTCCAGCATTCCAGCAGCAATGACTATAAATACACCTCACAGGACAGAGAAGCGTCTTTGTAGTTCATCTTGAGCCACGGCCAAATATTTTCGTGTAGGCTTGGCAGCAGAGCTGCAGACTGCACTGGCGAATTACAGCGGAATTTCAAAGCATTGCAGAAAAGGAAATTCACAAGTTTACTCATCAGGTTGTGGCCGTGTACTGCTGGAGGAAACCTGGGACAAGAAGATTTTAGAACCTCGTTTCTGCTACTCTTCTCTAGTGTCCTCAGGTATGCATAAACAGCAAACTGTGCTGAACAGTACAAACCGAAAATGAGCCAGAAGAACAAAGAAGAAACCAGTTCTTTGTAAGATGTGGTAAAGATCTGGTTGCACACTGGACGCAGGGAGACTCATGGGGCAAGAAGTACAATCTGTGAGCACCTGACGCAGTTTCCGGTTCCAGCGATTATCCCACATCAGACCCCCTCTAATCCATTCTATTGACTTTGATCCCAGGAGAAAGATGCATTTCCAGTGTCTGGCTGTGCTGGCACAGAGAGACCTCCCAGGCACAACAGGAGCTGTGCTCACCACCTTGTGCCTCACTTTCCCCTTGCCTGATCTCTACTGGTGGAGTGAAACGCATGGCTTGTATTTTAAACTCTTCTCATGCAATACGCCATTTGATTGACTAGAACACTCACCTAAGAAAAAAAACACTGCAGATTTTAAGAGGTGCAAAAAATAATGGCGCCACCTAACTAGCACACAGACATGTTATTTTTCCTAAAAGCATTTATGTCATCACAGACCTCTTCATCCGATACAGGACAGTGGGCAAACAATGTTTCTCCACAGGGGGCCTGTAAGGCAAATTCCCAGAAGTGAGGAGATTGTGGGTTTTGTAAAAACTAAGCAATTTCTGGGAAACTTTGCAAAAATTAAAAGCAAACCCAAATGATCTGAAGCAATGTTTCTTCCCCATTCATCTGCAAAGCACTGAATCTCCATGCGTGTTCAGCGCTCAGCGATGACAGACAATGCCCAGGGATTACAGTCGTGGGCGCACAGCCCCATGATTGCTGGCCCTGCACAGACAAGTCCTGCAGCCTCCTCCTTCTCCCTCTGACACTGTGATTAAACTGCCACACTGCTCCACTTCCCCTTCAGAGCCACAGTGTCCTGGATTTAAACACAGTGCACCTCTCTCCTAGTCAATATTTATCTCTACATTTAATGTGGTTTGACAGCGCAGGCTTTAATCTTCCAATGGCGGGTACCGGAGTCATCGGGAAGCAATTTAAGTGCAAGCATGCAGAAAGCACATCATGCAGTGTCAGCTGTGAAGGACATCAGCATCGTTAAGAAATGCCATTTCGATGAAAAAAAAACAAACAACAATTCTAACCACAGGATGAGCACAAGGTAACATCGGCTTACTTCAAAACTCAAATCCAATGACTCGATCTGTTAGTAAAGGGCGGTGAACTGCCTACAAAGTAGCAAGAATACTGATGTATCTTTGGGCTCAATAACATGTCTGATGGAGCGGCATATTATTAATCTTGCACATAAAACCTTAAGGGACCCCTCTCATCTGCTCCTGTTAGAATATACTCCCCTGCCCACCGGGTGGAGGTTCCAGGTCCCCTGTATAAAGCCTGAGAGAGCATTTACTTCCTTTTACCTAAAAGCATGTAATTGATGAACAATTAAAAAAAGTCACGGTAGGAATATTATTATTGGTTTTTACACTCTTTACGAGCTAACTGTTTTTTTTTATCTTATGGATTATGATTGATATGATGTAATCTTATGGAGTTTTGATTGCTGCTGAATGTGGTTTTGCATCATGGTATTGCACTGTATTACTGTCATACTCTTGCTGTGTAAAACAATCCCTCCAAGGGGTGTAAAAGTTCATTCGAGTTCAAGCGTCTTTCCCTCCAGCGACGGATCCAGGAATGTAAATGAAGTATGGATATAACCCCCCCCCTTCCTCAAATCAAGCCTTTCAATCACAGCTGCCATTAAAGTAACAGGAGTGAGCAGGAGAGCGAAAAAGCAGGAAGGAGACCTCCAGCAGGCCTGAAGAACGCTCCACAGCCGAAAACAAAAGTGGGTTTCCTCTTTCCGGTTTCCCGCGGGGAATTAACCTTTACTTGCTCCTTCGCAGCCAACACATGCTGACGCAGCTGCCCACTCGAACCCGAGTCAGAGCGTGGCTGACTCATCTGTTCACTTAAAAAAAAGGAAGAAACAAAAACCAGCCAGAGGGAAAACCGCACGCTCGGGACCGAAGACTAGACGCCCCCCTTAAAGCAGTAAACCCCTTAATATTAGATTTGTAGAACTTTTCCCTGAGCCAAGGAAAAAACCTCAATATGTTGAGATTTGTCAACTACATACAAATGTTTTGGGTGGCCGTGTCGCCAGCCCCAGTGGAGGGCCCAACTCCTCCAAGCGCTGCGGTTCAGCACAAGCAGCCGCAGTCCTGCCTGGCTGGAGAAACAGCTTTTCTGCAGGGCACATACGCGACGGGCGCCAGGCTCTCCGTACGGCAGGCCTCCGGGAGGAGTACCGCGGGCTAATGCCCGGATTACAGCTCGTGTTTAACGGAGCTTAGGAGCTGAAGAGCGGAGGAGGCGAGGAGAGGAGACTGCCGGGAGCCCCTCGCTGCAGGCTGGGCCGTTCTCTCTCCTGGCCAGACCCGAAGGGATCTCACGCCAACGGCAAGAAGAAAAATCAATGTAGCTCAGGAAACAATACAGGCTTTTAACGCTGTACACAGCAGATGGCTTCCAAACCTCTTTCTCTTTGCAACGCACCAACGTTTAAGTGCTTTGTGAAACTGACATCAGAAAAACAAGTGGCACCATTTCTTTGTGCTTTAAAAGAATTCTGTGGTTTAACAGTTGGCTTTTCTGAAGTGGTGCACTTACCTACACTGAGACAAAGGTGTTTCCTGCTTGTCTTTTGCAGCAGTCAGCAACACTGGGCTATTATTAGCTCACTGCAGCGTACACAAGAAACCCCACAAGCTCCTTCCATCACAGCGATGGGGACAAAAAATATACAGTCAGGAGACGCAAGACTGGGGAGCTCTCACTTCCTGGCATTTCCTGGCAGCGGCGATTGTCTTGTAGACTCCGCAGAGGTCAGCCCATACACTGACCACGCCATTGTCAGAAAAGACAGAACTGTGTTGTTAACCTGTGACACCAGCAC